GAGGATACAATCTACCTTCCCATGAGATGAATGACAAATAATTTACACCCCTCTTTAATCTGTCTCACACAATTTACCAACACTGACTCTAAAATGGACAATCTTATAGTCTTACATCTGATAAAGAAATTGTACCTATTAATAAAAACATCCCTCAATGGTAACTCAAGGTCCCGTTTTCTTCTATGTTGAATTTACTAGATCTTTTCTCCCCATCTGGAATTGGTTGTTATTGATGATTTGAGTAGATAGCACAGTGAATTTTCTCAAGAGGACATTCCAATGACTTAGCAACATTGACTGCAAGGACCATATTCCTCCCATTGCATCGCAGTGCCACGCTCAACCACAGCACTGTATTTGGAAGGGATCTGTTTCTGGAATTTTGCTCTGTTGTCTAGTTTGTCTACTTTAAGCCAACTCCACACTATGTTAACTAGTATACCACAAGATGCTAACTAATATGATCAATACCAATAATTTAATTAACATTAACATTTTGTTACCTTATACTAAATTTCTTCCAGTTTTGTTCTTATTTTTCAAAATATTCTTGACTAATTTAAGACTTCAGTATTTACATATGAATATGAATTTTAAATTTAGCTTGAGAGTCCCTTCCCCCCAAAAATAAACACAAAAACTCCAAACCAGAAGAAACAAGAAATAAAACAAAAAAAAACAAGCAAACAAAAATTCTTGCCATGATTATCAATGATATTTTTACTGAATATAGATCAATTTGGAGAGAACTGACATCTTTAAAATATTTACTCTTATACTCTCCAAATTGTGTATTTGTGTCATTTTTGTAGGTGCATTAATTTCTCCCAATGCTGTCATCTGGTTTTCAATATAGAAATCTTGCTATCTTTTAGATTTAAACTAATAAGGGAGTTAGTTCATCAAGGTTGCAGAATCCAAGATCCACAAACAAATTCTATTTATGTTTACAATACCATTTATAATCACTGAAAATAAAAAGGAAACACAAATATAATTCTATCAGAACACATATAGGACTTGTATCCCGGAATGCTGATGAAAGTAATCCAAAAATCTAAATAAATGGAGAGACTTACCATATTCATCAGCTGAAAAATAATAAAGATGCCACTTATCTTCTAATGTCACTTACCCTATTTAATGCAATTTTAATCCAAATCCCAGCAATAATTTTAATAGCTGTAGACAAAATTACTCTAAAATTTATATGAAAAAGCAAAGGAATCAGAATAAGTAAAACAAATTTGATAAAGAAAAATAAAGTTGAGAGATCACTAACTAAATTTAAGACCTTTGTATAGCTACACTAATCAAAACTGATGGGTATTGTGGAGGAATGGACAAAGACTGATAGAGTAGAATAGAGAATGCAGAAACAGATCCATGCAGAGTCATCTTTTTTTGTCAACCCTCACCCAACGATATTTTTCCCTGTTGATTTTTTAGAGAGAGTGGAAGGGAAGGGGAGAGACAGAGAGAGAGAGGAAGCTCAATGTGAGAGAGACACATCCATTGGTTGCCTCCCACACATCCCATGGGGGCTGGGGATGGAGCCTGCAATTGAGGTAAGTGCTCCTGACTGGAATCAAAACTGAGACCTTCAGTCCATGGGCTGACGTTCTAAACACTGGGCGATTGGCTAGGGAACAACAAGTCATTTTTTAAAAATATATTTTACTGATTTTTTTACAGAGAGGAAGGGAGAGTGATAGAGAGCTAGAAACATCGATGAGAGAGAAACATCGATCAGCTGCCTCCTGTACAACCCCTGGGGATGTGCCTGCAACCAAGGTACATGCCCTTGACCGGAATCCAACCTGGGACCCTTCACTCCACAAGCTGATGCTCTATCCACTGAGCCAAACTGGTCAGGGCAACATCAAGTCATTTTTGACAAAGGTGCAAAGCAATTGAATGGAGGATGGATGGTCTTTTCAAACAATGGAACTAGAGGAAGTGAATATCCATAGAGGAAGTGAGCATCCAAGGGTACCTATGGAGTATCCTTCTTTCTCTCAGTCCCATTACTTCACTGATAAACTCTTTTTCACTTTAAACAAAAACAAAAACAAAACAAAAAAAGAGAGGAAAAAACAAAAGGAAGAATAATGGAAACAAACAGAAATGAGATAAATTCTCACACATTTTTAAAAAATTCACTCAAATTGGATCAAAAATAATTTTTTGTATCCTTATCTGAGGATATATGTATTGATTTTAGAGAGTGGAAGGGAGAGACAAATATCAATATGAGAAAAAAACATCAATCAGTTGCCTCCCAAACAACCTCCATCCCCGACTGGGGATTGAACCCAAAACCTTTCTGGTGTGTGGGATGATTCTCCAACTGTTATTGATGGAAGTGGGATTCTTGGGGTACTCCTGGAATGAGAATTTCTGGAGGCCCCCATGGGAGCATGAGATATGGTAGAAAGGTTTATTTCCATAGACTTACATCCCTGGGTTTCTGAAGTCTCATTTCCCTGTGTCCAGTCGCAGAAGAAGTACAGCTGGGCTTTCGGGAAAGCTAGAAGCAAAGCCAGTGTCCAGAGTTTCCTTTCCTTGTTGGAGCCGGGCCCAGTTCAGCATCAGGCTAGCTTCAGTCCATTAGCCCATTAGTGTGGGGTCCACATGGCTGTGGGCCACAGGGCAGAATGCAGGAGACCATGCCCCAAGCAACAAGAGTCCCAAGGGGCCTGAAAGCTCACAAGAGAGTGAACTTCTTTGTTCAGGGGATTAAATATCCCAATTTTTGGCTGCTTGCAGTGGCCACGCCCATCTGGCCAACCATCTCTGTCCCCAGGTGTTATTGACAACAAGCAAGCACCTTCCCTGGCATCCCACCTTTACTGGGCATGCGCCTATCTTCCCTTTGTGCAGTCCTCCTCCCCCAATGTCTTGCAGGGAACATGCCTATAATGTCTGGCCTTTCCTTTGCTCCCTTCCTCTTTTAATAATTAGCTAATAATAATGGTTTCACAACCAAGTGAGCCACTCGACCAGGCTGGGCCAAAAATGTAAATGTAAAATATAAACATTTTAGAAGAAAACATAGGAAACCTTTGGGACCTAGGGCTTGGTGAGGACTTTTTGGACGTGACACTAAAGCATAAACCATAAAAGGAAAACATCAATAAATGGGGCTTTATCAAAATTAAAAATGTTCTGCAAAAATTCAGTTAAGAGAATGAAAAGATAACCTATAGGCAGAGAAAAATATTTGCACTCCCCAAATATTACAAAGGCATGCATCTAGAATATATAAAGGCCTCTCCTAACTGCTCACTAAAAACACCCAATGTCAAATGGGCGTAAGACAGGAAGAGACATCCCAGCAGAGGGTACCCAGACGGCAGATGAGCACACACGGAATGATGTTAACAGCAGCAGCCATTAGAGAAATGCAGAATGAGAACATGATAATGCACCACTGTGAAAACAGCCAAAACATAAAGTGCCGACAATGCACAATGCTGGTGAGAAACTGAATCTTCCTGCACCGAGGGTGGGAATGTAGAGCAGAGCAACTCCTCTGGGAAAAGAGTTTGGCAGTTTCTTCAAAAAAGAAACATACACTTCCCACACGACCCAGTCGTCACACTTCAGTACATTAATGCCAGAGACATGGAAACTCACCTTCACACAGTAACGTTACACAAATGGTCACAGAAGCTTTATTTGTAACAGCCCCAGACGAGAAACAGCAGCAGTGCCCTTCAGGAGGTGGACAGACAAGCTGTGGTGCAGCCACACTGTGGGACTCTACTCAGCAGTAAAGGGAACCAACTGTGGATACGCCCAACAACCTGGATCGCTCTGGAGGGCATTATGCAAAGTGAGATAAGCCAGACGTCGAAAGTCACATTCTGTCTGACTCCATTTACCTGATGTTCTAAAACTCACAACATTGTAGAGGTGGAGAGCAGATCAGCGGAAGTCAGATGTCAGGGGGTGGTGTCTGGAGGGAAGTGGTTGGAGCTCTGAAGGGGAGCATGAGGGAGATCTCTGTGGTAACGGAACACAGAGACTGTGCTTGATTGTGGTGGTATTTACACAAATCTAAGATGTGGTAAAACATAGCAATAGAACTGTATGCACACCATGTACAATATCAGTTTTCTGGTTTTGATACTGTACTATAGTTTCTTAAAATATACCATTTGGGGAAATAGGGAAAGGGTACACAGCATCTCTCTGTACTGTCTTTTCAACTTCCTGTGAATCTATAATTAGTTCAAATAAAAAGTTTTTTAAAATTAGCTTTCTAGCTAAAATTCAGAACACTCAAAATATTAGCAAGGGACTCATTCATTTGTGGTGGGAATACAAAGTGGTACAGTCACTTTGCAAGACACCGGTGATTTCTTACAAAGATGTACAGACCCTTACCATTGATGCAGCCATCACAGTCTCAGGGATTCACTCAAATGAGTTGAAAACTTTGTCCACACAAAACCCCGCACACAAATGCTTACAGCAGCTTCATTTACAATTACCAAGTCTTGAAGTAACAAAAATGTCATTCAATAGATGAATGGATAAATAAGCTGTGGTACATTCACACAATTAAGTATTATGCAGTAACAAAAAGAAATGAGTTTTAAGCTATGAAAAAACATGGAGAAACCTGAAATATGTATTGCTAAGTGAGAGGATTATCTCTCCCTGAACCCCAGCTTCTCCTCACACTTTCTCACCTCTATTATCAGAGGCCAAGCCCTAGGTGTTGAGACCCATTCTACTGAAGATCCAGTTGTTTCACTGACTTGGAGGCTCAAAAACCAAAACCAAATTCTGAACTGGTTGCTCCTTAGAGATCTCCCAGCAAACCTTCCTCAGAGTTTTCCAGATGAGGACTGGACCACAGCAACTGGATTGCTTACAGAACCTCTGACTGAGACCACACCCTAATGAACCTGGGTATCAATTACAGAGGATGAAGGGTCACATATATTCCCCAGCCCCTGTGCAGAACTGGCTCAGACACCAAAAACTCCGCCTGGAATAGTTTATTGTATTTAGAAAAACCACAATCACAGTTTGAAATCCCAAGCAAGAAATATACAGATGTTTTCATAGCAAAGAAAAGATCTATGGGGCCTATTGCAGGGGCATTGCATGCTGATAGTAAAGAAGTTAATGGGAAATGGAGGGAAAACAGATATAGAAAGGGGCAATGGACAGGGCAGCCCAACTAGATCCTGGAATATGGAGAGATCAAAATGGCATCGCTACTCTTAGACTGATTTAGGGGTTGGAAAGTGCTGAAGAATGGTTGTCCTCACTGAGGTGAACAACTGGAGAAGTGCCAGGTTTGTAAAGATATAAAGCAGAAATCTCTTCATTGAGCTTCTCCTTAAGAAAGTCCATTACCTGTAGGAGGACACACATAATTTTTTAAAGATGAATATTTGAGCACTTACCTTCAGATTCCTTCCCCTTCTCCCTTAATCCTTTGACTATGAAAAGTCTCTTAATATTCATCTGACCTCTAGTAAATACAACTTTTCAAACATGAACTGCATAGATGAGCAAACTATGCTTTACCTTCTCTTAGAACCCTGACACCACTTTTCAGATTGGAGGGGCAAAAACAATGAATCCACACTGACCCCCAAAGAGCCAAGCTGTGGAAATACTTTTTATCTGATGGCCTGCCTCAGAAAATGTAAGCCAGGAAGTGCCCAAATCTTGAAGCTAACTTTCCTAAACCACTGGACCTCGTATTCTAATGTTAAACAGTAGTCTTAGGTCTGGAGATAATTCCCAAGACTGAATGTTTATGTCAAGGGTAGGGACCATCCGGTCTGTTAGCTATATAAGGTCCACAGAATCATTTGGCCTGGCCCTGCCAAGGCATTAGGGGTGAGTTAATTAAATGTTTGACCAAATTCAGCCGGCTAATTTTTCAGTTGATAATTTCGTATGGCCTGCGAATGATGTTATAAATATCCAAATGGCCAACCTTGAAGCTTTGGGATATCAGACAATGCCTATGTCTGATTCTGTCCTAGCGAAGGTAAGTCAAGAGCTATGACTTTTCCCATCCTTTTCCTTAGGCATCACATGTCCTTTTCCCCACTCTGTTTCCTTCCGTTGATGACCCCACACATGTCTTCCTCTGAACACACCAAACCCACCTGCAAGTGCCTCACAGTGGCCCTCGGCGTTCAGCAGCATGGCCCTTGCGCATGCCCTTGATGATGAGGACGGTCCCAACAATGATGCCCACCAGACCCACAACCAGGCCCAGGCCACACACCACGTTCTCTGTTGTCTCTGGGAGGGGGGTTTGTGCTTCAAACTCTGGGGAAATAGAAAACAAAGTACAGAGGTAATGAATGTGGTCCTAAGTCAAAACAATGGCTATTAATCACCTAAAGAAGAGGAAGACACAATGATGCATTAAGGGAATTACAAGTTAGAAAGCGAGGAACGCTGGATAATGGGAGAAGACAAGACCAGGAATTACAGCAGTTGTTATGAAATAGTTCGGTGACTCTGAGTCCCAAAGGAGCAGACACATGCATCACAGAAGGAAACACAAACAATAAAGGTGGTTGAAGGATGGTCCATACCCCAGTGCTTGATAAGAGGCTCGTCCAAACCCCAGTGCTCCACCTGGCAGTCGTAGACGTCGTCATTTGAGGGCAGGAAGGGGAGATAGTAGAACTTGCGGAAAAGGTGGTCCTCCCTGGGCAGGAAGACTGTCTCTGACACTCCGGTTGTGACAGGTTTCCCATTTCGAAACCACGTGACGTTGACCACAGGTGGGGAGAACTTGTCAATGAAACAGATGAGCATATTGGGCTCTCCCAGTTCCACAGGGTTGTTCGGGAACACAGTCATCTCTGGAGGTACTGGGGGACACGTGACAGAAGTTAGCCTTCCTTGCTTAGGCTTGGCCCCTCCCTCTCTCTCTAAAACTGAAAAGAAGTTATTGTGCCCTGAGAATCTTTGCCACGGACTCAGATACCCATCTCTGACACGTTCACCCATAAACTGTAACCACTATTGAGGTATAAGGTATCCAAGGACTTCATTCCTGGCTTCCCAAGCATAGATTCAGGGCAATAACTTTTTGAATGACAGTGGATGGCAGACAAGATGTGAGGAAAATGACCAGGAAATGGAAAGCCCCATGAAGTAGTTGGGCCTGTAGCATGAGAATTTAGGGCTTGATGTGCCAAGGTGAGGCCCCAGGAAGGAAAAGTCATTCACAATAATACAACAAAAAGAGCTGAAGCATCTATTTAAAAGCTATGATTCCCACATCTAGGAGTGCAGCAGGGAGAGGTACCGTTGGAGTTCGGGGTGTGATTGGAGCGCTTTATCATAGTTTCCAGGTTGGCTTTGTCCACAGCGATATTGGCCAATGCACCCTGAGCCTCAAAGCTGGCAAATTGACCAAATTCTTTAAGCCGCCACACCGTCTCCTTCTTTTGCATATCCACGTGGAAAATCTCATCACCGTCAAAGTCAAACATAAACTCGCCTGACTCATCAGGTTTCATGTAGAATTCGGCCTGGATGATCACATGATCCTCTGAAAAGGTAAAAAAGGGAGTTAGGGTTGGAACAAGCCGAGAGAGATGAGAAACCCTGGTTGTGAGACACACACGTGGGCAGCAGGGGTGAAAGGGGTAGGCCAAGAGGAGGGAAGGAGTGATGGAGAGGAGGGATGAGTGGGAAGATGAGGCCTGGGTGAACCATTTTTGTGTTGAACAGAGATTGGAGGGAGAAAGTAAGGGGCATGTTAGAGCGGGTGGATCGAAGGAAATGGACTGAAAAGCCTGAGTCTTGTGAAGCTGTGGTTTGCCTTTGCCTCCAGGTCACTAGCTGAGGAATGATCCCCACTGTAGAAATCCAGCAGCAGCTCCTAAAAGGTTGGGTTCTGAACTCTGAAATCAAATTAGCATTTGAATTCTTATTCAGCTACTTACTTACCTAGTGATCATGAGCAGATTATTTCACCTCCTTACATGTAATTTTAAAATTATTTTCTTTTATGGTTTTGCTTCTTCTATGGGTTTGTTTTTAATTTAAATCAGACAAGTTAAGTAATTTCTTAGTACATCATCAGGCCTATAACAAGAACTTTAGGGTCAGAAACTGGTTTGTATTTAGGTACTACACCCATGGAAAATAACACTGGGGCCTGAGGTACCTGGGAAATTAAGATTGAGACCTTGTAGAGCACCCACTTTCCTGGATCTGCACCCACACCATGGGTACTCTGAGGGAAGAACTATATTTGGCAATGAACCCTTATGTCTCAAAGATCCTTATATTGATATTGTCATTATGTGGTCTATTCTATATGGTTGATATTGAGCCTAATTTATAACAAGGGCATAATCAATTTGAAGAAAGAAAGTTAAAATTGGAGAGTATGCAGCCTCCATGTTGTGTGTAGAGGAGAGGGGGATTTTAAAGTCTGACTGTGTATAGGTAAAGCCAGGGATTTATTTAGCATTTGCAGCTATGTTTTCACGTGTATACCCACACACACACACACACACACACACACACACACATTCTAGTTGCCTCTTCCCAACCCAAGGGAAGAGCCTCTCTCTTTCCAGATATGTATCCCCATGTATGGCTCTTTCTGGGCAATAGAAACCTACAGTTGCCATCATGGATATTGGAGCTGGGCTATTCCTTTATTCCAGTGCCTGCCACCCTCTGCAGTGGTCGCCTGGGTGAAAGATATTTCTTCTCAATACACCTTCACTACAGCACAATGTCCGCTCAGGAGATGGCAGAGAACATCGGCTCTTCTCTTCCTTACTCATTTTTCTACTCTCTTGGGAAAGCCACTAGGTAGCAGTGATCAAAGATCATTGTAAGATCCAGTAAGGAGGGCCTATCACTGTCCGGGGGCAGTAAATTAAATGCAGCTCATATCGGCACACCTGTCCTGCCCCTCCCTTGGGAAGACTGTTACTTTTTGGTGACTTTCCTTTCTAGTGATCTTCCCCAAAATGTCATTGCTCAAAATATCCTGACAGGATCCACATGCCAAAAAACAACTACCAGGTGTCCAGCTAAGAACCTCTCACATTTTCTCATTTAATCCTCACAATATTGTGTGAGGTTTTCAATTTTACTAATTATCTAGAAAGAGAAATTAAATCCTAGAGAGGCAGCTTGCTAGTGCCTTCCAGACAAGATTTCTTCCTCAAGTTTGCCTTACCTCAAAGAAATATACAACTCAGGTTTGCTCGTCTAAGCTAAATTTGACTGACTTCAAATTGTGGTGAGAAGAGAACTCTTCCATCGTCAACTCATTACACTTTCAGATTTAGACCCACAGAATACCTATAAAATGTCTCTTTCACTTCAAATAGCGTCTTTCCACAATTCACAATGCTCTCAGAGCTTGTTCTCCTCAGTTATGATTCTCTCAGCACTTACCTTTGATGGCCCATGATTCCTGAAGGCACACCAGGACCACTGTGATGAAAAATCCCAACGCTGGGTCTCCAATTATGGCCATTTTCTTCTTGGGTGCTTTGATGGGGGTCAGCAGAGCTCAAGAGTGGAGCTCAATAGATAGGAATAAAACAGGGGAATGTAGTGTGAAATAGTGTCCGATTGATTAAAATTCAAATCAGTTGAGCTGCAGCCAATCAGCACAGTGTTTTCAGATGGCACATCTGTTGCTAAGGAAAGGACTTTTGTAAAGGGTCTGGGAAAGGAGATAGATTAAAAGTTAAAGTTCTTAAACAAATGAACAGAAAACAACAAAAAATAAGTTTTTGAGAATGTTAGGCAATCACTCACACTTTTCCATCCCAATCCAAGTTCTAGAAAGGGATATACCTGAAGCCCATAGTGAGAATATAATCAATAAAAAACCTAAAGTGAGAGTTAGTGGCAGATCACGCATCTGTGCTGTGACAGCTAGGGAGCTTATTTTAAGAGACAACAAATCATCTAAAAAGAAGGTAAATTATCAGGCTAAGGAGAATCCCCAAATC